TTAGTATTATTATTAAATATGTAAAATCTGACCAGAACAGTGTATCTCCCAACAGCCTTTTTGTTCTTCCCAATCCACACAAATCCCAATCCAGACTAAAGTCAGTTTGATGGTACTCACTTCCATTCCTTTCAAGGATTATTGTACTTTTCATCTCATGGGAGCTTTTTTCATAGGTGTCCTGTAATTTAAATATTGTTTCCCAGATGTGTATAGCAAAACCTACAGGTTGTAAACTACTGTCGTAGGACTCAGGAGGCTACGGAAAAACATCCCACAGATGGAATGCTTCTCCTCACACTCTGAAAAGCTACTTCTCAGAAGTATTGACCTTTTTGTGATTCTTAAAATGTCTGCCAGCCAAAGAGAGGTGTACATTACCAACATGTGATTTGCTAGTGTTACTCTGCATACTTTGTCCGAGATCGCTTGCCAAGGTCAGCACAGTGCAGAATGAAATGCTGAAGGTTCTCTAGCTTAGCTCACTCTAAAATGCCATTTAAAATCATCTGCACTCTATTGAATCCTGGGCATAAGAAGTATCCATGTGATGGCATTTTGATTGAGAGGAGTGAACACTGACACACTGCAGCAGTGTGAGAAGCCAGGAAATAAAACCAGTGTTGTTCAAGGTCTTGCATAATGATTCCTGTGAACAGGAGGCTTGGGATGTGATCCCCCAGAACCAAGACTATATCTCTTTTAAGGCATTTACATACTCCTGAAACATCTGCAGTGACAAGAGTTTGAACCTTTGCATGGCTGCAACTCAGGGGTTTAAAACCACTTCTTCTACCCCATGATTAGTTCAGACATATCTGTATACACAGAAAGCCCTTTCTGGTCAAGGCTCCTCCTGAAATATTCTGCAAGAAAAGAACACTTACCTCAAGGCTACGGGCAAGGGCAGAAAGTAATTTTGAGGGAAGCTGTGCCAAAGGGTGGGCTGGCCTTGCCCTGTGTCAGACACACACCTGCTACTGCCCTGCTGCAGGCTCAGGATGGCAGGTGCCACCTCACTTTCTCTGTGGCCCCTTGTGGGAGGATAGAGACCCTCAGTGTGCTACAGGGACAGAGCCATCCCTAAGCAAAGGCTTCTTTTATCTTTGGCTCAGAGATTCTGCCAAAGGCCAGTCAGGTGATAACTTTTGGTGACATGACTCAGCTGGGCTGGATTCAAGTGAAAGATTTATCAGAAGTGAAATACCACTGCCAGGCCCCTTGGCTGCCAAGTGCTAGCAACACAAACACAAATGGCAAATACATCCTTATCCCACAATAGTGAGGTGTATATATCTCTTCCCAGAGTATTTATCATATGAAACATTTCTGGATGAATTGAAAAAGCCCATCTTTCCATCTCATCCCTTTTTTTTTTTTTTCTTTTCTTTTTTTTAGGGGGCTGGGGAGGATTGGCTAAGAAAGTTTTGAATTATAGCTAGAGGAGTGCAAAAAGCCAGAAAATTTTCATGGTAGATAGACCTAATTTAGTGCTTGAAAGGAAATACTTGTTAAATCTGAAAACACATGAAAATTTGGCCTGGTTATTTCTAGACCTATGTCGAGTAATGAATTTGCATCCTGGATGGTAAGACCAAAGTCACTGGGAGCAGATAAATCTATATTGTTTTCCAAATATTGTGAAATATACCTCGTGGCTTGTGAAAGAGATACATGTGGTTTGGTCTTACTAACTTTACTAAATTTGTCTCTGCCAGAGCAACAAGCAAAATTCCCCAGCACAGCATCAGAGCTAGATGATACAGCTGTTTTAAGAGCAGAGTCACAACGCAATTTTAGGGTCAAATTCTGGGATACATAGTCCATCTTCATACCCAGTGAAAGAAACATGAGGTCTTGCAGGGGTGGGCAGGAAGGGAAGGCAGAGAAGAGTGGATAGAAAAACATGACTGCAAAAAAATTACTTTTACTTTTGCAGAAAGTAAAGGAAACTCAGTCTATAACAGGACATACGGTGTGAGAATTTAAACTTCCCCATTTTTGTTGCTGCATGAGTGGTCTCAGAATAAATAGGCACTGGTGGAACGAGAAACAAGGTCCCAGTCCCCCGCCGGCGGGAGCCCAGGGCCGCCCGGCGCTGGGTGGGGGCTCCACAGGGATGCTGCCGGCCCCACAGCCGAGTCTCGCTGCCCTCCCCCATGCCAGGGAATGCACTTAAAGAACCAGCCGGCCAGACAGCTCTCTCACAGCACGTTTTATTTGCAGCGGGGATTCCAGGGCAGCGCGTGTGTCCCGAGCCCCGGGGTCTGCCTGCCCTGCCGGGGTGCTGGAGACCACGGGCAGGGGCCGGCGGGGCGCTTTGCCTGCAGCCCCCGAGGGAAGCGGCGGCCCGAGGGGCAGTGGGGCTGTCCCCTCGCCCGAGAAGCGTTTGCAGGAGGCGGCCGGGCGCGGGAGGCGGCCCCGGCGGCAGGCGCGGGGTGCAGGCCCTG